TTTTTTTTTTTTTACACACATATTTTGGTTTATCTTCCTTCTACAATCATTATCTGAAAATTAATGACTCAACTTCAAAGTCACCCTGTAATAATCCCAACCAGCATTATTTAAAATAATGTGTTCTGGGTTGTCGCTAGTCCACGTCCACAACGATCTATACTATAGAATGTATTGCTTATCTTATGAACTATTTCATATACCTAAATTAAAATTGTGAAGGAACAGATAATATAAATATTAAAGTCTACCTTCGTCTCCTGTACTAATACAAGGTTTATTTTATTAATATTCAAATTCTCTGAAAATACAACCACGTGTTTTTTAAATACCACAGTTTTTGTAATAGAATTATTTAGAAGTGGTGTCAGAAATGTTGACATTTGTCATAGATTAAAGTGAATAAAGGGACGATTTTGAAAATTATTAGTGAATAACAAGAATACGGACTAACAGCAACGCGGTCCTAGTACGGAAGACCGAAAAAAAAATCCGTTTTTGGATCGTTACATTAAACGTTTGTCCTATGAAGATCCTCGAATGACAGCCACACAGATTTTCAAAATAATCGTAGGAGAGGGTGCCGAGACTCTTTCTGTCAGAACAGTGCAGAGACGCTTGGTGGATTTTTTTACTATGAATTTTTCAAACTTTAGTCCCACTGTAGCTGTTCGTTGTCCGAGAGACCCAAGCCTACACCCTGCTGAGGAGTAGCCAAAAAGCACGAAACAGCTGTCTTTGGTCGGACGGACAAAAGCAGAGCTTGTTTAGTGTGCCGTATTAAACTGCATTATAGACACTTTTTTAAATATGCAAAGTTTTCTGGGTGTTCGGTTTTTATATTCGTGTGGATAATTTTTGAAATAATTCAACCGTTAATTTTCAGTGCTAAACGAACTGGAAGGTCTGTCTCGCGGCACCCGTCCAACCACTGCCACCCCTACTGAGACGGGTGGTACCAAACGTCAATCCCCCGACCCACAGCACGTCCTTAAAGTAGCCCAGTTCGCCAAGGAAGCCTTGGATTTCCTCAAAACTCGCCATTCCACCGTCAAGTGTATCACCACCAAGGGCGCCGTACTTCCGTCGATCTAACTTCTACACACTTCTACACGAAGATGACGCGCAGTGGAGCGCCGACTTCAGGAACGATGACAAGATCCTCACCACGTGTTTGCTGCTTGGGAAAATCGACATGAATCGGCCCGGAGGAAGGTGGGTCATTTGTTCTTTTTTCTTTCCATTTCCCTTGGTATAAATGTAGATGTAATATTGGTAAGAGTTGGTAGTTTTCGTGAAATCTGATTAGGGATTACAATTTTAGTGCGCCTTGACCAAAGAGTAGTTGAACCAAAAGAAGACAGGTTAGACAACGCGAATAAACTGAGAGTGATAGCTTGTCATTGAACTGTTATCAGTTTTTAAATATTATAAAATTATATAAAATTGAGCCAAAATCTAAAAAGAATGCTTGATGTCTGAGTTAAGTCCAATTTTTTTTAGTTTAGCTGAAGGTTTATCCATGTTTATTGCAATTATTGTAATCCATATGTGATTATAGTAACTCAACATCACCTACCGTGTGTTTATAGTTTATCCTATATTTGCAAACTTGCACTTCCAAAACCTTCCACTCAAATTTTTGTTAGGTGTTTGCGTTTCAGCACATTCATACACTTCTTTCAGTTTCTCAACGCTTTTTCACGATTTATTCATATTTCAATAGAAATCACTGATATTCAGATAGCTTTGACAGCTTCCGTCAATTGCATTTCCATCA